GCACGGGGGCAAGGCACAGCTGCCTGGAACAGCTCTGCACACCCTGCAAGGTCAGAGGCACCCGACCCAGACTGGGGACTGGTGGGGGCATGTCCACAGGAAGTGACCCCAAACCCAGAGACAGCAGCTACAGCCATAAGAGAAACAGCTTCACTTGAGACAATGACAGAGAACAGAAGCCTTGGAAATACTTGCTTAAATATGAGGGCCCAATGGGGCTCAGAGAGGCGCCCTGCCCCGCAAGGAGGCTGCACCACCGGGCCATGGCTCACTGCCGTCAGCTGAGTCCACTGGGCCCCCATTCCCAGGTGAGTCCTGCCCAGCAGTGGTCCTAAGCCAGTCAAACACTCACTGCTGGGCGACTGTGTCCTTATCTGTCTGACCTGTTCAGAAAAGGAAAGGGACCAGGCTACTTACTAATGAGTTCAATCTTCCCGTTGTTTTTGACATGGTAGAAAGATACAGATATCCGCGGAGCCTCTCCATGCAACACAGCAAATTTACTTCCATTAGGTTCCCAGGCAAAGGCTATGATGGTTTCTAAAATTGACGAAAGAGATCACTTCCTTTGTGGTCAATTCAGAACAGAATACTCTTAATCAGTTAAAATGTTCACTATTCAACCAGAGAGAAATAGCCCCCAACATTTAAAAGTTCATTATAAGGACCACAAAGCAAGCATCAGCAGGAAAAGGTGCACATTCCTGGAGTTTCAGAGGCTGCTGCCTCCACTCATGTGAATGACCTATGTGAAACTGTTCCCTTCCTAAGAGCAGGATACCCAAGGTGGGACAAGGAGCCTGACATCGCAGGCAGCTGTGGATGCCACTTGCTTTGCACCTAGTGTGGCGTCTACAGTGGAATCCTGGCTTCCTGTCTCCCTGCCTGGCAGGGCGGCCAGGTTTGACGTTTGCTCACCTCTCTATTTTTCTCCTTCCTTCCTCCTTGTTTCTATAGCAAAACAAAAAGCCAAACAAGAACACAGGCTGCATCTCTTCTCTCGTTTCTGTAGACAGGGTCTTGCTGTCACCCAGGCTGGAGTGCAGTGGTGCAATCTCAGCTCATAGCAAACTCCGCTCCTGGGCTCAATTGATCCTCCCACTTCAGCCTCTCAAACAGCTGGGACTATAGGTGTACACCACCACACCTCGCTAATATCTGTATTTTTTGTACAGAGAGGGTCTCACTATGTTGCCGAGGCTATAAAAACATTTTGTGACCTGGAGATGGCTATTAATGGTGAGAGGTCACAGTCGTGATTCCATTGCTCAGACAATGCACTAGCAGGAAAGTGTTAAAAGCCAAGTGCAAAACAGCACATAGGGCCCATCCAACTAAAAATGACTAAAATAAAACTTGCCTTTCATTTCGACCACATCCACGGGTACCTGTTTTTCCCTCATTCGGAAAATTTCAAAATTTGTGACAACACCCTGTTTAAAAAAAAAAAGGAGGGAAAGGATGACATTCTGGACACTGAAAACATGAGAAAAAGGTTTAAATCAAAGGACAACTTCATAATTAGAGATTCGATTTTCACGCCTGGTTCGCACACACAAGCATCTCCAGTGATGGCAGCCACAGCCCTCAGGAGAGAACACAGTTCTAAGGCTGGAGGGGAACTGCCGGCACCCCATCTAGAGGCAGCTACCGGACATGTGTGAAATAATCCGACCAGATCCCACCTTCAGGAGCCTCCGTGCCCTCCACTCTGGCACAAGCAGTCCCAGGGTCCTCACTACAGTCTGCGTGCCAGGTCCACAGGGCCCAAAAGGCCCACCCATGGGGCTGGTGAAACTATTTCAGACAGTGGGGGTGTTCTGCAGCCATGACCTTCCAGAAGTCCTGCCCACTCCAGGAGTCTAAGGGGAAACCGCCCCAATGTCCACCAAAAGAGGAAGGAGGCAAAGAAATGTGGTCCACCCAAAAGCAGATTCCTGTTCAGACTCAACAGTGTGGACAAGCCGTGGGAAAACTGCTCCATGAAGGAGTTAAGACACAGAGGCTGCAAACTATGTGATTCCAGCTGCGAGTCTGGAATAGGGAAGTCAGAGACATTAGTGATGCCAGGAGCTGGGCAGAGAGACTGCTAATAGGTATGGTGTTTCTTTGTAGGGTGATGAAAACATTTCTTATTTTTTATCTTTTAAAAATTATCTATAGAGATGGAGTCCCACTGTATTGCCCAGGCCGGTCTGAAATTTCTAGCCTTAAGTTATCCTCCCTCCCACTTAGGGTGAGCCACCTCGCCCAGCCAATGAAAACACTGTGAAATGAGCGATGGTGGCTGCACAACCCTGTGAACACACTAAAAGCCGCTGAACTGCCCACCACTTTAAATTAGAGTGGAATGCTTCCATTAGAGGAAAAACTCAGACAAGTTTTCATAAGGTAAATATTAATTATCAACTATATGCACAAAAAATCTGAGTATGCTACTCTTTGTACTTAGAAAGAAAATAATATTCTCAACCAGGCACAGTGGCTCACCCCTGCAATCCCAGCACTTTGGGTGCCCGAGGTGGATGGAGCACCTGAGGCCAGGAGTTCAAGACCAGCCTGACCAATATGGTGAAACTCCGTCTCTACTAAAAATACATAAATTAGCTGGGTGTGGTGGCAGGCACCTGTAGTCCCAGCTACTGGGGAGGCTGAGGCAGGAGAATCACTTGAACCCAAGAGGCAGAGGTTGCAGTGAGCCAAGATCGTACCATTGCAATCCACCCTGCGTGACAAAAAAAACCACAAAATGATATTCTCATTTTAGCAATCAATATAGAAAAAAGGTGGGTGTCTGGGGACGTTTTACTGTATTCCTTTGTGAACTCTAAACCATGTGAATGTAGTATCTATTCAAAACTTATTTTGGAGACAGTGTCTTGCACTGTGGCCCAGGCTAGAGTAGAGTGGTGCAGTCATGGCCCACTACACCCTTGACTTCCTGGGCTCAAGTAATCCTGCCTCAGCCTGTCAAAGTGTTCAGATTCTAGGCATGAGGCACCACACCCAGCCTATTCGAAAAACTTTTCTTAAAAAAAAAAAAATTATACTCTTCAAATAGAATATGCCAAGATCTCTAACTAAGACTTGCCAGGTATATCAGGAAGGTGTCAAAAAAATCCACAAATCCGAATTTAAAAATCCATTAACAGCCTCCAAACAATACTGTGGTCACTGAAGAGCAAAGGATAAGGAACCTCCAGTTCCCACGGACACCCACGTACCTGGGTGCCTTTCGGAGTCCTGTCTACTTTCACACACAAGTAGTCTCCATTCTTCTGCCAATGCAGCTTGCAATCCACCACATTGAACAGGTTCCTCACTCGGATCTCTTGCCTGGTAGGCAGCTGCATCAGGGTTACCCTGGCTGGAATATCTTTGTCTTCAGGCACCCAGAAGGCTATTATGTTACCACCAGGAGACCAAGAAAAGTCTCTGCAGATCAGGAAAATAAAATGTTACAGCAAAGACCAAGTGATGAGGAAACTGAAAAGCAGAAGAGAATAAAATAACTCATTTGCTGTACAGAAGCTCAATGCCATCACGGCTGACGCTGAGAGCTCATTCCGCACATGCACACACTGCTCTGGGCATGGCGCACAGCTTCACAGGTCTTCACCAGGACCCTGGGGCATTACTGCGCTCACTCTAACAGCGAGTGAATGTAGGCAACATATGAGCAACCCCACCGTCACGCACAGACTCTATAGACTCCAGCCTGGGCTCCGTCAGCCCACTCTTAGACACCACATACTGCTGCTTTGAGGCAATTTAGGCTGGCAGATCCAGCTATTTGACATCTAAAGATTAATTAAGGTGTCAAAGGGGAAAACGGCAAATCAAGTGTAAGCAATGAGCAAGAACGAGGGCAACTCCCTCCAATGGATCAAGTGCTCAACAGAAGAGCTGCTGGAAGGAACGGTTACTGAGCTCACCTACGCGAAAAACAGCTTTATACTCGTTATGTGCTCTGTTTTGCGTTTACTGAGAACCGACGTCCTGGTCTTTCTATTTTATGAGCCAAAATTTTGCCCCAAAATGTAAAAATAAAAGGAGTAAGAAACATCAATGTCCTTGGATTGCTGGTAGAAGTTCACTGCCGTGATACCGACCAGTTCCAAGAGTTTTCTGATAAATAAAAACGTGCCCATTCTTTGATAATGAAAATGAGCTGAAGGCTCCCCAAACTCTGCCTCAGACAGAAGAGTAACAGGAAAACCTTTCGCTTAAGCAAAGTCCCCTCTCTTCCTTAAAAGACTGGAACCACCCTCCCATTTTCTAGGTCGAAGATGAGGTAGATGGAAGGAAGCCAACTCAAGACTCTGGCCTTGAAGATTCATTTCTGGGCACAGAAAGGAGTTGCTGAAGTGGTGTCTCAAGGGTGGTGGGCCCAGCGCGGAGCAGCCTTGCTGCCCATTGGCTCAAGCCTTCATCCTGGCATTCAGAATAAACTCACCTTAGGCTGGGCACAGTGGCTCACGCCTATAATCCCTGCACTTTGTGAGGCCAAGGGAGGCAGGCAGGCAGGCAGATCACTTGAGGTCAGGAGTTCAAGACCAGCCTGGCCAACACGGTGAAACCCCTCTTCTAAAATATACAAAAAATTAGCTGAGCAGGGTGGTGCGCCCCTGTAATTCCAGCTACTTAGGAGGCTGGGGCACCAGAATCCTTTGAACCTGGGAGGCGAAGGTTGCAGTGAGTCGAGATCATGTCACTGTATTCCAGCCTGGGCAACAGAGCAAGACCCTGTCTCAAAAAAGATTAAAAAATGGCTGGGTGTGGTGGCTCATGACTGTAATCCCAGCGCTTTGGGAGGCTGAGGCAAGACCAACTTGGCCAACAGTGAAACCCCATCTCTACTAAAAGTACAAAAATTAGCTGGTTGTGGTGGTGGGCACCTGTAGTCCCAGCAACCCAGGAGGCTGAGGCAGGAGAATGCCTTTAACCCAGGAGACAGAAGTTGCAGTGAGCAGAGATCATGCCACTATACTCCAGCCTGGGGGACAGAGTGAAACTGTCTCCAAAAAAAAAATTTTTTTAAAAAGAACAAACTCACCATGTTCTCTCCAACTGGTTAAGAACTGAGTGCTAGGCTGGGTGTGGTGGCTCACAAGTATAATCTCAGCACTTTGGGAAGCCAAGGCAGGCGTATCACAAGGTCAGGAGTTCGAGACCACCCTGGCCAATATGGTAAAACCCTGTCTCTGCTAAAAACACAAAAATTATCCGGGCATGGTGGTGCGCACCTGTAGTCCCAGGTACTTGGGAGGCCGTGGCAGGAGAATCGCTTGAACCTGGGAGGCAGAGGCTGTGTTGAGCTGAGACTGCGCCACTGTACCTCAGCCTGGGTGACAGAGCAAGGCTCCATCTCAAAAAAAAAAAAAAAAAGTACTAAACGAGAGAGCAAATAAAGGAAACCAACTGCAGTGGAAAACATCTATGTCCCCCAAATTCATAGACTGAAATTCTAACCCCTGGGGCGATGGCATTAGGTGGGGTCTTTGGGGGCTGAGCAGGTCATGAGGATGAAGCCCTCAGGAATGAGATGAGGACCTTTACAGAAGTGGACCCAGAAGCCTTCCACCAGGTGAGGCTGGACTGAGGGGCTGTCCATGAGGAAGTGGGCTCTCACCAGTCTACAGGCATGGTCTCCCAAACTCCAGAACTGGGAGAAAGACATCTCTGCTATAATAAGCAACCAGCCTTTGGTATTATGTTAAGCAGCCTCAACACACTAAGATACCAAATTAATAAGAACACTCACTTTATCCCAGAGATCTTCAAACTCTTCTTGTCTAGAAGACCCATAGACTGGCCAAAAAAAAAGGGGAAGGTTACAGTTGAGTCAAATCATGTCAGTGTCTCAGTAACACACGTAACTTTTCACAAAAAGAAACAAGTCTGATGTGAGTTTGCCTAGCGAGCACTGCAAGGAGAGGGTGACGGTGAACCCACCCACCCATCCACCGCTGCAAGCCACAGTTCCGAAGCCCACTGCATTAACTCCCATCCAGGGCTTCCCACAGCTGCGCTGGAGACAGGCCTTTACTGCGATCTGTGAAACCTCCTCCTCCTCTTCTAGCACAAGTAAGTAAAGGCACCACACCCCAATTACAAGCAAGGACGGGATGAGTGTTTCCCATCACTGAAGCCACTTACAGGAGTTTCATAGATGCTAAGTGTATCCAGGGTCATTCTGGCAAAGAATTTACCATCATGGCTCCACCTAAGAGGAAAACAGAAGTGCCAGGGTATTCCAATTATAAGACAAAAGGCTACAGGGGTTGTTACAATGATCCACTTACTTAAAAATAGGCCAATGGGCTGAGCTCTCACAGTGAAAACCTCTCTTCTTGTGCCCCGTAAGGATGTCCCAGATGATTATGGCCTGAGGGTCATCCTGCGTGTCCATCAGGGGGCTAAAGGTCACCAGGTACCTAGAAGAGAGGGAGGCAACACTGCATGCTATCCTCCTCTCCAGGGAGGATCATAGTCTGTCTGTGCAACCAGAACAAGCAGTCAGAACTCATGGAACCAACTCTCTCCCCAAACACCACACTCTCCCAGCCCCAAGAGATCCCAAGCAGAGTGGGAAGCAGAAGCAGTGCTTGTTCATTCTTGGTGTCAACACACTGCAGGCATTCCAGTTTATCCAAGATCAGCACAGGAAAAATCACGCAGATCCTACACAAGTCTGCTGAGTGATCTAGAGGGAGATGCAGTGTGGAATTCTATCTTTTTTTTTTTTTTTGAGACAAAATCTCACCCTGTTGCTCAGGCTGGGGTGCAATGGCATGATCTCGGCTCACTGAAACCTCTACTTCCTGGGTTCAAGCAATTCTTGTGTCTTAGCCTCCTGAGTAGCTAGCATTATTATAGGCGCCTGCTACCATGCTCAGCTAACTTTTGTATTATTAGTAGAGATGGGGTTTCACCATGTTGGCCAGGCTGGTCTCAAACTCCTGAGCTCAGGAAATCCACCCGCCTTGGCCTCCCAAAGTGCTGGGATTACAGGCATGAGCCACTGTGCCTGGTCAGAATTCTCTTTACCAATGTTTAGTTAAGACTAACAAGGTTAAAAAAAAATAAAATACAGCTGGGCACAGTGGCTCATTCTTGTAACCCCAACAGTTTGGGGGGCCAAGGCAGGTGAATGACCTGAGGTCAGGAGTTCAAGACCAGCCTAACATGGTGAAACCCCACCTCTAACAAAAATACAAAAATTATCTGGGCATGGTGGTGGGCGCTTCTAATCCCAGCCATTCAGGAGGCTAAGGCAGGAGAATCGCTTAGAACCTGGGAAGGTGAGGCTGCAGTGAGCTGATATCATGCCATTACATTCCAGCCTGGGCGACAAGAGCAAACCTCCATCTTTAAAAAAAAATAAAAGTCCCATCCAGTTCAAAAGCTAGCATAAGTCTGATGGGAAACTTTAGAGCCTAGAGGTTCCTCCCAGCCATTATTTACCTGACTGCTGGCTTGTCTGGAGCTACTGCACCTGCTCACTCAGTTCACACAGTGTTAATAGACAGTCCTTTACATCAGAGGGGAAGGCAGACACAACCCATGAGGGCAAAGCAGAACAGCCCCATCTCGCCCTCACACTGCCTTCCACAACTGTGCCTTTCCCTAGCAGGGCTCAGACAACCAGATTAGCTAGATCAAAAACCCTGGCTTGGCTGGGTGCGGTGGCTCACACTTGTAATCCCAGTGCTCTGGGAGGTCAAGGCAGGAGGAACACTTGAGCCCAGGGGTTTGAGACTAGCCTGTGCAACAAAGTGAGACCCACATCTCTACAGAAAGTAAAATTAGCTATAAGTCGTGACATGTGCCTGTGGTCCCTGTTACTCAGGAGGATGAGGTGGGTGAATCACTTGACCTTGGGAGGCTACCTACAATGAGCCTGCAATGGCACCGAGCCTGGGTGACAGAGCAAGGAAAATTTATTATCTGTAAAACATGTGACATTGGACTAGATCCTGAAGGAAAGTAAATAATATACAGAACTATTAGGTCAAGTAACAAAATTAGAATATGGCAATGCAATCAAATGTTAAAACAACGTTAAATCCATGAAGTCAGTGCCTACACTGTGGTGATGCGAACAAAATCCTATTTCTAGGAATACACATTCAGGGCTAAAGGGACATGTTACTTCAACTTACAAATGGCTCAGGAAAAGTATCTACACAGAGACAACAGAGGATGAAGCAAAGGCAATCAAATGTGAGAAGATCTCAGTAAAGCACACCAGCGTTCTCCACACGCCTATCTTTCTACGAAGTTTGAAATGCTACAAAATTAAAGACTACCTATAGAAGGCTGGCATGGGGTGAAAAGTATAGAAACTCCACTGGCGTTTTTCTAGCAGCTTACCTTTCACAAGGTGAGAAATCAATGAGCTGAACCCCTTGGTGACTGAATCTCTGAATCTGCTTGAATTTCTCTCCCCCCCATAAAGCAATGCCTCTTTGATGAAAGGTAGCCAGGTAGGTGCCCTTAGGAGACCAACGCACATATGTCTCTGTCCATCTCTGCAGAAAAAGGCAGTGCAAAACATCAAACATCAAGACCTTCCTACAGTAAATCTATTCTGCAAACTCTTAACTGAAATACACAAAGCCTGTTCACTTCTCAGGATCTACTTCAAAGCTGGAAGAGGAATAAAATAAGTAGTTTTCAGAAAGTAATCTCAAAGAAAATAAAACGTCACCTGCTCTTTCAGTTTTCAGACGGAAACAAAGTTCCACTTTCTTAAGAAAACAGGGGAGGTGAGTCCCGCCCCCAGTGGCAGCAAATACACACCGCTCTTTCTTCAATTGAGACAGGGTCTTTCACGTCATTCCAGAATATGGAAGTGCGGTCTCCACTCTCAAAAATCACACTATACTGATCTCTGCATTCTGCCTCTTCAAGCCAGTAACGTAAATTCCCCTTATACAAAAATCAGCAACTCGTTCCAGAACAAAAAAAAGGCAAGGAATATAACATTTCATTAATTTAAAAAAAAACTCATTCGCAACTATTGCTCTTAAAGACATGACAAATTCAGTCCACACCCTCAACTCCCAAGTCACACCTTAACCTCAAGTCAAGACACCATCCAGCATTTCTTTTCTTTTCTTTTTTTTTTTTTTTTTTTTTTTTGAGACAGGCTCTTGCTCTGTTGCCCAGGCTAGAGCCCAGTGGCACAATTATAGCTCACGGGGGCCTCAACCTCCCAGGCTCAAGTGATCCTCCCACCTCAGCCTCCCAAGTGGTCGGGAATACAGGTACATGCCAGGCCCAGCTAATTTATGTGCTTACTTTTTGTAAAGAGGGGGTCTCACTTTGTTGCCCAGGCTGGTCTTGAAGTCCTGGAACTACGGGATCCCCCTACCTTAGCCTCCCTAAGTGTTGGGGTTACAGGTATGAGCCACCGCGCCCCAGCAGCAGCACTGCTTTAAACCACTGAGATGCAGGTTTCAGGGCACTCACCAGGTCTTTGAAAGGCTGTTTCTCTGGAATATCCCACTCATCACTGATGGTCATATACCTAGAGGAAAAAGGAGACTGTCGAACCCCACGCCCTGATGACTGGAAAGAGCACCCCATGAGGGGTCCAGCATAGCCCTACTGCACTCCTGCCTGCCCACCCCCCGGGCTGTGACTGGCATAACCGGAAGGGGTGCTACAGGCCAGGAGCTTGGGGCAGGGCTGTGAAATGGTCCTGTGGCCCTGCAGAAGCCTGACCAGAAAGGACATGAACAATCTGACAGGCACCAACGCCCACAGAGAAGCACCAAACCACCCAGGCACGGCCGGTCACTTGCACGTCAATGTCCACTTCCTCATGGCCAAGTCTGAACTTACTTGTCAAAATCCGTGAAAAGGTTGACCCGGAACGTGTGCTGCTTGTCCAGCTTGTAGCCGTCAGCGTTCTTTACAGCATCCACAGCATGGGCAGGGGATGCATACTCCAGGAAAATATACCTGAGTGAGACAGGGCCATTCATACACACCCACACCATAAGGCTGGGCAGGTACGCACTGTCTGCCCCACCCCTCTCCATGGACAAGCTCTCTGTACCAGGAGTTCTCTGTGCTGTTCTTCCTGCCTCGAGCCTAAGGCAGTCACACAGAGGACAGACCCACAGCCAAGGAGCTCCCTAAGTTAGAGGGAAACCTAACCAGAAGATTCAAGTCTCTAGTTTTATGATTATAAATTATAGAAAAGTTAATCAAAACATCCATGACTGTGGCGATGGTTTCATGAAGTGTACACATCAAAATCTATTAAACTGTATACTTTAAAACTATGCAGATTTATTATGTATCGATCATCTCAATAAAGCTGTTTTTTTTTTTTAAAAACTTGTGGCTGGGCGCTGTGGATCATGTTTGGGAGGCAGAGGTGGGCAGATCACTTGAGTTCAGGAGATCCAGACCAGCCTGGGCAACACAGCAAAACTCCCTCTCTCCTAAAAATACAAAAATTAGCCAGGCGTGGTAGCATGTGCCTGTAAGCCCAGCTACTTGGGAGGCTAGGGCAGAACTGCTTGAACCTGGGAGGCAGAGGTTGCACTGAGTTGAGATCGCACCACTGCGCTCCAGCCTGGGCAAGAGAGTGAGGCTCTGTCTCAAAAATGAATAAAATCTTTAAAATAGCCTAATATTGTGTATTACAGGCAACATTACAAAGGACCTCAGAGAACGTTTCATTGTAACACGAGTAACCAAGGGTCAAGAGGCTACCCTTCAAATGACTGCCCAACATAAAAACACAGTAGAATTACCTACATTTGATAAATTTTTCTAGAAACTAAAACTATTCTAGTTAGTTTTTACTTTATGTCATTTATTTGAGAGACAGAGTCTTGTTCTGTCACCCAGGGTGGAGTGCAGCTACATAATCATAGCTCACTGCAGCTTCAAACTCCTGGCCTTAGTCTTCAAGAGTGTTGGGAGTTTGGGTATAAGCCATCATGCTGGCCTATTCCAGGTAATTTTAAAAACTTTAAAACCTTAACTAAAAAAAACAAACTTTATCATCTTCTCATTCACTGCTTTGGAGAGCTTCCTGCTGAGGGCGGCCTGAAAAAGTGAATGGCCCACGTGCCCGGGCGAGGCAGCAGTGCAACACTCCTTCATCACAAGGTGCCAGACACAGATGAGACTTCTCTCACAGGCGAACACTCACCCTTTTGTCTTTCCATCCTCTTCAGGATAAAAATCATTTGTGATTTTCCCAAACTTGGAAAAGATCTTGTGGATGACATTTTTGAGTTTCTCAAGTCGGTCAGGTCCTACCTGAGGGACATTGTCCACTACAATCACCGAATCAATTCCATCTGCTTCCTGGGGTCGATCTTTGAGTACATCTCCCAGTAATTCTTAAAGAGACAGAGATTTGTCACATGACCATTTCTACCAAGAAAAACATTAACTGGACACACTGAACAAATATCCAGGAAGTGACAATGAATCATCTAAATGCTTTCACTGTGAGTAAAAGAAACCCCAACCCTAGCTTGTTTCAGAATTTAAACGTGAGAAGTGGGGAGACTGGGACTCTTCTCTCTCGCTTTGACAGAAATGTCAACAGTCAAGGTATGTCACTTAAGTTCTGGCAATAACCAAAGCCCACAAGACAGTAACTATAAAAAGCTTTTAACAACGCAAAATGCAAATGAAGAAGAAAATCTAAAGAATATCCAATGTTAGATCTTTCAGAGATCCCTAGATTTTGAAAGGTTTCTAGCAACATCTAGGTAGAACCCCATCCCAGTGTCAATGAAAACTGACTTTTACAGAAGATTTTAGCAAACAAGTAAATATTTAAATGCTCAATATATTCGCAGCACATTTGTGCTGTGAATTCAAACTACTAGAAATTATTCAAGGAGGAAAAACTCTCTTGAGTGAACTGGGATGAAAATAGTAACTCTTCTCCCACCTCCTGTTCCCAGTTATTTTCATGTTTTCAAGGCAGTGAACCGGAGAGCCATTCAACGGGATCAGGAAAAAAACCAAAGAGCGAAGCCACCTGTGGTGAGCTTCCTGATCGGCCCACCACCAGGCACCTTCGTCCAAAACCCTAATTATCCAACATTCCCTATGTTAAAAATCTTGAAGGATCAACACAGGAGATAGGGATGGAGCAAAGCGTTTTTCCTACTCATATGCCACTCAACACATTTCTGACACCAGATGTGGGTCCCTATCAAGTAGTTCTCCAGGGGCTACCAGCTGAGTGTCCTCCAACTTAACCCAATTCAGACACTATCTACCAGGAATTAGTATCAGATCCCATAGGCTGAAGGCTCAGTCCCAAAGAACGGTACCCATTTCAGATGGCAATTGTAAGTAGCGGGCTGTCATCTCCAGTTCTGACCGAAAACCTCCAAAGCAGGGTTCCCACTATTCCCCACTTCTTGGGTTGCTTCAACAGCTTACAGGATTCAGGGAGCTAGGTTTGCCACCTTATTATAACAGACGTTATAGAGAACACAAAGAAGCAGATGGAAGACAAGCACAGGGCCTCCCTGTGCTTTCCAGGCACGCCACCCTGCAGGAGCCTCCACCTGTTCAGCTATGTGGAGTCCCCTGAACCCGGCCTTTCTGGCTTTCATTACACAGTTGTGATTACTGACATCACTGAGCACTGGTGATCCACTCAACTTTCAGCCCTCTTCCTTCTGAGGAGCAGGGGGAGACCTAAAAGGCAATTAAATGTCCTGAAAGCCTGATCTGAATTTACAAGGCTTGCAATAAAAATAAAAGGCTCAGCTTTTACATAAGCTGTATACTCCTTTCCCACAAGCTCAAAGCATCTAGACTAGAAGAACCTGCCCACACCTAGGAAGGAAATATATGAAGTAACTACACCATGAAGACACATCGCCTTGGTCACGGATTCCCAATCTGTCTCCAGGAAAAATAGAAGGGAACAATTCTCAACACTAAATAGCAAACAGAAAGAGAAAAAATAGTTAATGAGCCAAAAAGACACTTAGAGTTAAAATCCTGATCACATATTTATTTCACCAAACACCAAAGGCAGCTGAAACATTAACCTCAAAGGATAATTACAGATTGGAATGCTAATCTGTACCAAAAACCTAAAGGCAGCAAGACAGGGACTCCAGGCCATCTCTGGTCTGCTTCCTGGAAGACTTGACCCCTTCTGGAAAGAACTGATAGTCATATACTGTCTTGCACACTGACCCTGAAGAGCAGCTCTTCTCATAAAACACAAAACCAGCCGGGCGCGGTGGCTCACGCCTGTAATCCCAGCACTTTGGGAGGCTGAGGCGGGTGGATCACGAGGTCAAGAGATCGAGACCATCCTGGTCAACTTGGTGAAACCCCGTCTCTACCAAAAATACAAAAAAATTAGCTGGGCATGGTGGTGCGTGCCTGTAATCCCAGCTACTCAGGAGGCTGAGGCAGGAGAATTGCCTGAACCCAGGAGGCGGAGGTTGTGGTGAGCCGAGATCGCGCCATTGCACTCCAGCCTGGGCAACAAGAGCGAAACTCCGACTCAAAAAAAGAAAAAAAAACAAAAACAAACAAACAAACAAAAAAACACAAAACCTACCTGAGTTACCAATCACAACCATGAGAAATGCTGGCTTGCTGAGCCTGAGTTCCCCAGGACCAGATGCCTCACCTGTCACTCTGGCCAACACTGCACCTTCAGGATGACCCACAGTCATCACCCAGCCCAGCCAACCTTGTGGTCATATTAGCATCCTCTGGCTTTTCCCAATTCCAGAAAGAACTTACATATTAGAAATTTGTGAATTCGATGGGCTCAAATAATACTTTAAAAAAACAACTCAGGCTCAGCGTGGTGGCTCACGCCTGTAATCCCAGCACTTTGGGAGGCCAAGGCCGGAGGATCATGAGGTCAGGAGTTCAAGACCAGCCTGGCTAACATGGTGAAACCCTGTCTCTATTTAAAAACAAGCAAACAAACAAACAACGAAAACTCAGCAGAATATCCAAGGGCTCAAAATAATCACTAAACCAAAAGTTTTGATTTCAAAATCTAAGAAAAATTGAAGTGCTACAAAGAACACTGTTCTGAGCAGGAGAGCCTGGGGGACCCCAAGCAGTGCTGACCCACCGGAAATTCTCAGCAGCCTACTCCACCTTCAGGGACACGTTTCCTCAGGAGCAAAGGACTTAGACTAGATGCTCCCAAGGTCTTCACTAGTTTGTGGTGTCCTTCCTGCTTTTCATGCTAATATTTAGTCTTTCATGAAAAAAAGTGCAATATAACAATGGTCACAGTCACTGACAGCCTTTTTATTCTTCACTGTTTCACTTTTTGAGACAGGGTCTCACTCTGTTGCCCAGGCTGGAGTACAGTGATGGGATCTCGGCTCACTGAAACCTCAGCCTCCTGGGTTCAAGTGATTCTCGTGCCTCAGCCTCCCAAGTACCTGAGACTACTACAGGTGTGCACCACCACACCTGGCTGATTTTTATATTTCTGATAGCCTTTTAAAAATACATTTAAACTGGCCAAGGCGGGCGAATCACGAGGTCAGGAGTTCAAGACCAGCCTGGCCAATTTGGTGAAACCCCCAATCTCTACTAAAATACAAAAATTAACTGGGCATAGCGGTGCACACCTGTAGTCCCAGTTACTCAGGAGGCTGAGGCAGCAGAATTGCTTGAACCCGGGAGCAGAGGCTGCAGTGAGCCGAGATCGTGCCACTGCACTCCAGCCTGGGTGACAGAGCAAAACTCCGTCTCAAAAAAATAAAAAAAAACATTTAAATTATAAGTTGGCAACTCTATGTTGTTCCCTAAATTGCCTTAGTGTATCACCGGCTGTGTCAGCAAGAGTATTTTTATTTTTCTCACTCCAGTATTAACTTAGCCAATAGACAGGCTGATGTGTTCCCAACTTAAAAGACTTAAGACGGCTAAAAACAAAGCAAAAACAAATGAGATCAGCTCTCATCAGAAGTCACTTTAGGAGAGGAGCGCCTTCAGGCAGGAAGCAGAAAAATGCCTGTAAATCCAATCGAGGTAGAGATGAAAGCAAAGCAGGCTGTTATCAACAACTTTAAAACCTGGAAAAATAACTCGCCTTACAGGTTTACCGTGGGGGAGGGGAGGGGATAAAGGAAAACCAAACTGGAATTTGGCAGGGACTGCCTGTCCCACTAGGGAAGTCTCTGGAGGTGGACAATTCTGCGGGACAGGAAGACAGAATCACCGGCTCTGCCACAACCTGTTACTACGATCCCGACCTTGGAAGGTCTGACGCGTCAGCTCTGGGGACACGCAGACCCGCAAGCTTGACACTGGGTTGTCGGTTTTTGCTGTACCCTCAGCAGCAACACTCACGGCACAGGCACACCCAGTCATAACGGAGTCCCCCTGGAGCCCTCTCCCACCCTCACAGATTTCAGATAGTCTCACAAGTGCCTAGCTTCCAAAGTGGGCTCGATCTAGCCCCCTTTTCTACAAAAGGGGAGGTGCTGGGCTCTCAGAACACCTCCAGGGCTGGCACTCGGGAACCTCCTACAAGGTGGCTTCTCGGGAACACACGGATACCCTCGCTGGAACTTCTGCACGAACCGGTGGCACAGCCCGACCACGTCTCCCACCTCGGGTACCCCAGACACGCTCCCGCGCAGCTCGCCGCCCCCGCCCCGGGTGCCCTCACCTTCCTCGCTCACGTCGTCCACGAAATCCTCGGGGTCGCTGAAAGAGGGCTCGTCCGCGTCGCCGTTCTCTAGCGCCCGGGGCTCGGCCTCGGCCGCGCTGCCCTCGTTTCCTCCAGCGTCCTCAGACGCCGCCTGGGCTCGGCTGTCGGCGCGCTCGTCCCGGACCTGTTTCCCCCGGGCCTCTTCCTGTGCCGGGGCTCGGGGCTCGGCATGCGACCCGGGCGGCTCCTCGGCGGCCGACGGCGAAGGCGACTTGGATGGGCCGGAGGCCGCCTCCACCTCGGTCCTCACCTCGGGCTCCGGTCCGGCCTCGGCGGCCGCCACCTCCTCACTGACCGCCTCGGTCCCTGCCGCCTCCGGAGCGCCAGGCCCCGCGGGCCGCGGCAGCCCCGCGGCTGGCGGCGGCTCGGCGGCCGGCTGCTGCTGGCCGGGCTCGGCGCGCTCCTCGGCGGCCTCAGGCACCACCACGTTCTCCGCGTCCTGCATGGGCCCAACGCTGCCTCCCCGCAGAGCTCCGCGGCCACCGCGCTTCCGACTCCCAGGCCGCACCGCGCGCCGCGCCGGCTACAGCCCAGCCATGTGCGTGCGACCGGGAGGCCACACCAAGGCCGCAGGGCGGGGGGCGCACCCACGCCTTGGGCCCTCATTATGAGACTAAGAGGACTTACATCCGCAGGACCGCGTCCGAAAATCACCGAACTGACATTTTTGTGACACGAAAGTGTTTAATCCCATTCGTCAAGGTTGTTTCTATCCATCAGTAAACTCATGGGAGCATTGACCACCCCGTGTGTGGCAGGCTATGGTTCCGTCCAACATGGCAGCCGCCCCTTTCCTCTCCCGTCGGGCGCTGCGGGTCGAGACTGAACTATTTGTAGCGCCGAAAGCGGAGACCAAAAATCATTTTAGTATGCGAAATGCTATGAAAATGTCCTCTAACTCAACAGTTAATACCATAGAAAAGTGGAGGCTCAAAAGGCGATTGTTCAGGCCGTCTCAGCCTTTTGTTAGGCAAACCGTTTAGCTTACATTACTAATGTCCCCCTGTCCGTGTGGGTCACTTGAACTTGTCTACTGACTGGGCAAAAGGACGGACAACTCCAAAATAGAAAAGGAATTCAGGGCGAGCCAGAGGCGGCCCACACGACTAGAGGGACGACTATCTGGCGCGATACAAAAATGTATCCGAGTTGCTTTAATCGCTTACCCCCAATTCTTCCCTAACGGCCGTCACCGCCTGCTTCGCCCCCTTCGGGCGTTTGCAGTGGTTCGATCCACCCGAGGCCACCGCCCTCCGCGCGGGAGAGCGCGGGTCACGTGGGGGCGGGGGCGGGTCCTCGCCGCGTAGGGTGCTAGGCTGACACTGCGAGATCCGGAACAGTTATGTCACCGCTGGTCCTAGCGGGACGGATATTGGGTGTTTCCGTCTCCTAACTTGCTTTTTGCCAGGGTGGAGGACAACTACTCGTTGTGGGATGTCTTCATCATCCTAGAAAAGGACGCGGTGGCTCACGCCTGTGATCCCAGCACTTTGGGAGGCTGAGGTAAAAGGATCTCTTCAGCTTGGGAGTTTGAGACCAGCCTGGCCAACGCAGCCTCCCCCGCCCCCCAGCCCTCGTCTCTACCAAAATTAAATAAATAAAACGGGTGGTACCCAGTAGCTGGGGAAGAGAGTAGGGAGTGTTTAATGGGGACAGACCTTCAATTTGGTTGGATGAGAACGCTTTGGAGATGATGGTGGGGATGGTTGCACAACTTGGTGAATGTACTCGATGCCACTGAACTGTGCACAAAACTGCGTGTTAAAATAGGCCCTGCGCGGTGGCTCACACTTGTCTTTCCAGTGCTTTGGGAGGCCCTGGCGGGAGGATCACTTGAGTCCAGGAGTTGAAGACCAGCCTGGGCAACATAGTGGGACTCTGTCTCGAAAAAATAAAAAATGCTAAAAAGGCAGATTTTATGTATATTTCATCATATAGTTTTTTGTTTGTTTTCAGAGACAGGGCTCGCTCTGTTGCCCAGGCTAGGGTGAAGTGGTTTAATCACACGTCTACTGCAGCCCTGACCTCCCAGCCTCAAGAGAATCCTTTCACCTCGGCCTCCCTAAGTGCCAGCATTAAGGTGAATCACCTCGCAGGGCCTAGCCATTTTAACATGCAGTTCATATGCAGTTCAGTGGCATTAAGTGACATTCCCAAGTACCTGGGACTGAAGGTGTGTGCCACCACGCCCAGCTAATTTCTTTATTGTTTATTTGTAAATGGCATCTCACTGAGTTGCCTAGGCCAAGAGCCTCAAGCAGTCCTCCTGCCTCGGCTTTCCCGTGCTAGGATTATAGGTATGAGCCACGATACCCATCACGTTCTAATGGTGTTTAAAAGAGCAAAAAAGAAGCAGAGTCTTCCCCATGTCTGGTACTAGATTTGACTCCTCCTCATCATGCTGTCAGCTGTGTAACTTTGGGCAGGTTACTTAATGCCTCTGCCTCAGTTTCTCCATCTGTACAATAAGTGATAACACATTTTTTAAACAGAGATGGGATCCCGGCTGGGCACGGTGGCTCACACCTGTAATCCCAGCACTTTGGGAGACCAAGGCAGGTGGATCACCTGAGGTCTGGAGTTTGAGATCAGCCTGGCCAACATGGTAAAACCCCGTCTCTACTAAAAATACAAAAATTAGCTCAGTGTGGTGGCATGCGCCAGCTACTCGGGAGGCTGAGGCAGAGAATTGCTTGAACCCAGGAGGTGGAGGTTGCAGTGAGCTGAGATCCTGCCACCGCACTCCAGTCTGGGCAACAGAGTGAGACTCTGTCTTTAAAAAAAAAAAAAAAAAGACAGAGATGGGGTCTCACTATGGTGTCCAGGTGTCACCTGGACTCCTGGGCTCAAGCAGTCATCCCACCTCAGCCTCCCAAAGTGCTGGGATTTCAGGCATGAGCCACTGCACCGCCAGGTGGCTGGATGACACATTTTAGTGTGTGGCTGGTGGGACAGTTCCACAAAGGCAAACTAGGTTTCACCTCCACACCAAATTATTCTCCCAATTTCTAGTTTCCGCTGCGGCTTTCCTTAGATCATCAGGCTCTGGCAACTCTTTTCTTCTAGAAAATGCTAAAAGGTAGCAAGTCAGTGAACAGGAAGCAAATACTAACCAAAGAGCTCGAAAACAGCTAATTTTAGCTTGGCAACTGCATGTTTCCTAGACAAGGAAAACTCTTCTATGGCAGGCATGCAATGCACAGAGGAGGCACTCTTCACTTTGCTGGGGAATGGACTTCCTTAGCATTCTTTTTTTTTTTTTTTTTTTTTTTTTTTTTTTGAGGCGGAGTCCCCCTCCATCACCAGGCTGGAGTGCAGTGGTGTGATCTTGGCTCACTGCAACCTCCGCCTCCCAGGTTCAAGCAATTCTGCCTCAGCCTCCAGAGTAGCTGGGACTATAGGTGCCCGCCACAACACCCAGCAAATTTTTGTATTTTCAGTAGAGACGGAGTTTCACCATGTTGGCCAGGCTGGTCTCTATCTCTTGACCTCGTAATGCACCTAGCTCAGCCTCAAAGTGCTGGGATTACAGGCGTGAGCCACCATATCCAGCCACCTTTTTTTTTTTTTTGAGGCAGAGTTTTACTCTTGTCGCCCAGGCTGGAGTGCAGTGGTGCGAACTTGGCTCACTGCTATGTCCGCCTCCCGGGTTCAAGTGATTCTCTTGCCTCAGCCTCCAGAGTAGCTGGGATTACGGGTGCCTGCCACCACACCCAGCTAATTTTTGTATTTTTAGTAGAGATGGGGTTCATTTTGGCCAGGCTGTTCTCAAACTCCTGACCTCAAGTGATCCACCTGCCTCGGCCTCCCAAAGTGCTGGGATTACAGGCGTCAGCCACCATGACCGGCCTTTCCTAGCCTTTTCTACAGGTAAAACTGTGCAGAAAATATATCTAAGAAGTGCTGCTGTTGATACTCAAAATTATGTGAGTGCCTACTTTGTGGTAGGCACTCTGGTGGGGGTACAGAGGTGAGTAAACCATGTATGTTTACGTAGTTTACATGAACCTGTCTGTAATGGGTTCATAAATGACATTCCTGCTTTTAAAAGGTGATGGCAAATTCTCCCCCAAGTGTGGGTGAACTTAAGGCATCGTGCAGTGGCTCACACCTGTAATCCTCACGCTTTGAGAGGCCAAGCTGGGAGGACCACTTGAGCCCGGGAGTTCAACCAGCCTGGCCAATGAGGCGAAGCTCCCTTTCCACTAAAAATACAAAAATTAGCCAGGTGTGGTGGCATGCACCTCTAGTCCCAGCTATTCAAGAGTCTGAGGAGAGTCACTGGAACCTGGGAGGCAGAGGTTGCAGTGAGCCAAGATGGTACCACTGCATTCCAGCCTGGGTGACAGAGCAAGACTCTGTCTCAAAAACAAAACAAAATTATAAAAATAAATTAGCTGAGCCTGGTGGTGTGCTCTTGTAGTCCCATCTACTCTGGAGGCTGAGGTGGGAGAATCGCTTGAGCCCAGGAGTGCAGTGGGGTGATCTCAGCTCAAAGCAACCTCTGCCTTCCAGGTTCAAGCAATTCTGCCTCAGCTTCCCGAGTAGCTGGGATTACAGGTGCCCGCCACCACGCCCAGCTAATTTTTGTGTCTTTGGTAGAGACAAGGTTTTGTCATTGTTGGCCAGGCTGGTCTCGAACTCCTGACCTCAGGTGATCTCCCACCTCTGCCTCCCGAAGTGCTAGGATTACAGGCGTGAACCACCATGCCCGGCGGTATGTTACTTACTTACATGTGCAAGCTTACAATGAAGTTTATAGATCAGGCATAGTAAGAGATGGATGGGTACAGTGGCTCACACCTGTAATCTCAGCACTTTCAGAGGCTGAGGTGGGTGAATCACGAGGTCTGGAGATCAAGACCATCCTGGCTAACACTGTGAAACCCCATCTCCACTAAAAATACAAAAAATTAGCTGGGCGTGGTTGGATGCACCTGTAGTCCCAGCTAGTCAGGAGGCTAAGGCAAGAGAATCTCTTGAACCCGGGAGGTGGAGGTTGCAGTGAGCTGAGATCACCCCGCTACACTCCAGCCTGAGCGACAGAGTGAGACTCTGTGTCAAAAAAAAGAGATTAACAGCAATAACTAACAGAACAATTATAACAATATACTGTAATAAAAGTTATGTGAATGCGGTGTCTGGTGGTCTCCCTCTCAAAATTTCTTAGCTATGTAATATTTTCCAACTGTAATTGACCATGGGTAACTGAAATAGTGGAAAGTGAAACTGGGAATCGGGGCTACTGTGTTTGGAAACAGTCTTCACAGATGTAATCAAGATGAAGTCAAGCTGGACAAGGGTGGACCCTAAGTCAGTGACCAATGTCCTTATTAGAAGAGGGAAATCGGTGGCTGACTCATAAACCCAGCACTTTGGGAGGCCAAGGTGGGCAGATCATGAGGTCAGGAGATCGAGACCAGCCTGGCCAACATGGAGAAACTTCATCTCTACTAAAAATACAAAAAATTAGCTGGACATAGTGGCAGCACCTGTAATCCCAGCTACTCAGGAGGCTGAGGCAGGAGAATCACATGAATCAGGAGGCAGAGATTGCAGTGAGCTGAGATCACGCCACTGCACCCCAGCTTGGCAACACAGCAAGACTCCATCTCAAAAAAAAAAGAAGAGGGAAATTACGGCCAGGCATGGTGGCTCACACCTGTAATCCCAGCACTTTGGGAGGTCGAGGCAGATGCATTGATTGAGGTCAGGAGTTTGAGACCAGCCTGAATAACATAGTAAAACCCCGTCTATACTAAAAATACAATAATTAGCTGGACATGGTGGCAGATGCCTGTAATCCCAGCTACTCGGGCAGCTGAAGCAGGAGAATCGCTTGAACCCGGGAGCTGGAGGTTGCAATGAGCGGAGATCCTGCCACTGCACTCCAGCCAGGGCAACAAGAGCAAAACTCCATCTCAAAAAAAGAAGAAAAGAAAAGAGGCTTGGGGTAGATCTCAAGATCCCAGAGCTTCAAGGAGAAACCAACCTGCTGACACCTTGATTTTGAACATCTAGTCCCCAGAATTGTGAAAGGATAAATTTCTGCTGTTTTGTTGTTATTGTTTTGGGTGTTTTTTTGGTTTTTTTTTTTGAGACGGAGTCTCGCTCTGTTGCCAGGCTGGAGTGCAGCAGCTCG